TTTTTTGTTACACTAATTTGGGGAAATTTTAAACATTTGGGACACAAGTCTGGAATATATATAATGTCTGTAATATAAAAAAGTTTGTTATATCAATCTAAACAAAAAAAAACCCCAAACTATTTATAATTGGTATCTAAAGTATCCTAATAACCCTTTATTTAATGTTAAATAAATACATTGTCTGGTTTATTTCCAGAAATCCCTTCATTATTTAGAGAGTCTTTTGTTTTAATTATCCGAGTGTCTCCCTGTTGATTTTGCTGTATGTTTTCCTGTTTTTTCAGAATGTGATAATAATTAGTTAGGTTATGGTTTGTATTATGCCCACTGCTGTTGTCCATTTATCTTCATAATGCCTAAATATTACCAATAAAGCTGTATCCCAGTCTCTCTAACACCTTTGGCTGTCAGTGAAATGTATTTGATGTTGGTTTGCCTGCATAGTTCAGCTACAGTGAAGCGATACAGACTTTTTTTAAAATTGGCTATCAAGGCATAACCAGAAAGAAGGTTGCATAATGGGGCCGCAGCTCGGTTTCAGATGTTTCTCTTTCCCAACTCTTCACGTTTTTGTTCAAGAGCATCAAAATAAAGGAGGCTACCTACAAATCCACTAAACATATGTCAGGTTTTATTCCTTAAAAAAAATAAACCTCCCATTTTATATTTAGGCACAACAATGTGTTTTATTTATGAAATACCCTGAAGTTTGTGGTTATATAACCAACTTTTACCATTTTCAAGACTCAATATTTTGGCAAGGCAATGAATAATGGAGTCCTCCATTTTAGATAATATCTTTTGGTCTTAAATAACCATAGAAAGTATATCTTCTAAAGAGATAGATCACAAATTTAGTACCATTCATAACCTTAAGGGTTGATAGAATACCGAAATATATTAGGAAATTAAAGAATATTCAATTAATGTGAATTATTTTGTAAACTTAAGCCAGGTTTTTAGTCTTAATTTCTTTTAGGTGCAGATTGGTTTCTTTGCAGCACTAGACTTAAAGCTGTGGTCCATAACTTTTCTTAAACAAGAACAGAAAAAGCAGAATTAATAATCGGTCCATGTTTTGGTTTCTTTATTGCACACATACCGTCCAACTGACGGGCCCTTTCACCCAGACAGGTGCTTCATAATCACCCAATGACAGCTCCCTTAAGGTAAACATGCAAATCTATTGGTTGATGATGCAGACATTTGTCTTGGAATTTTTTTTTACCCATAAAGAACTGTCATAATTAGTTAAATCAATAATTATGACAGATTGTCTTCTCTATGTCGTAGAGCTGTGTCAAATGTTACATTTAAGCATTTATTAACGTATTTTAATCATTTAAAATTATGGACTACATCTTAAGTTTTGTTTGGGCTGAAATAGACTGTTTTTTAATTTGGAAACAGATTGCATTCACCTGAAAAAAAAAGAAACTGGGATGTTTTTTCTGAATTAACAAGATCATTTTAAATAAAATAAATTTTAAAAAGTCCTGTTTTTCAGAATTACATGATAAACTGCAATGAGTAGCGGCCAGCAAGCAGGTGTCTTTGCAAAGTCTTCATAACTAAGAGAAAAAAACAATTTCCCAGGGTTTTAATCCCAAAAGAACATAAAGATGAATTCAACTCAGCAAACATTGTAGCTTCTCCTCTATAGAATCCCAGCAGCATTATTTCATTAATTCAGTAAAAACAGAACGGTTTTAATTGTTTTTGTAAAAATGATCTGTTAATCCACACAAACAGAATATCTTTATTTATTTATTTAATTTAAATTCAGAAAAAAATATATTTTTTATTCAGAAAAACAGACCAGTATCTTTTTGTTTCTTGATGAATGCAATACTCCTCCGTTGTTTTACAACAAGTCTAATATTACAATATTTCCTTTTTTTCTGTTGTTCAAGTCACAGCTTACACAGAAATATAAGAAAACATTTTGACAAGTTGCATATTTATATCATATGTGTTTTTGAATATTAAAATAATAAATGCTTTGTGTGAATTTATTAATGCCAAATTTTTCCTCAGATTGCTTTTTTTTATTTTAGTCTATTAAATACAATTGAAAAACGATTGTAGAAAAGAACAGGAAACCTTGAATAACCACAAAAACACTGAGCAAATGTAACCTTACATTTTCTGGCTACTTCATAGACCAGAAGCTTAAGTCAGTCTGTCACACAAACAATTCAGCAAATGCTGTTTGAATATAATTTAGGGGTGCAATGTTTCATACATAGTTTTGGTCAAGCAATAGAAGCAATATTTTCTCTACAAGTCCTACTGTCAGAGCTGTTTTGCTGCCAGCTGCTCAGAGAACCCGGAGCTACATCTAGAACCTGCTCAGAACCCGATGCTTGTAGAGCGAGGGTCAGTGAGCTGCCTCGTATTGAGCTCTCCAGACTTCCTCTCCAGCCGGATTTCTCCCGACTGCTCAGACCCCTCACACGATCAAAGTTCGAGTCTCCGTTCTGCCTCCGTGGCGACTTAGAGTAACCGTGTCTGTCACTGCACCATCCAAATGCCCCCTTCCATCTTGAGTTCCCTCCCCTTAAATGAAGTATCTCCTGAAAGGCGTGCCAGAAATCCGGACTGCGGCAGTAGATGAGGGGGTTGAAGGCTGAGTTGGAATAACCCAGCCAATTAAGGAATCTGAAAAGGTCCCTGTTGCCACTGAGATCCACAAAAGCTATGACGATATTAAGGATGAAGAAAGGTAGCCAACATAATGTGAAAGTTCCCATGATGATCCCCAAAGTTTTCACAGCCTTGTGCTGCGAAAGACAGATCCTGAGACGCTTAGCAGCAGACTGCTTTCCTTCTTTTTCCGTCTTCCCTCTGTTTTCTTCCCCCTTTTCTTCTTGCCTACTATCTGAGTCCTCTGTTTGCTGCATGTTTAGTCTGTCCTCTCCATCTGCTCCTGTCCTGAGTTTATTCAGTGAGGGGCTGTCATCTGGATAAGTCCGTTGTGCAGATTTATGCAGGTGGAAGAAGTGCCGCTCCCTTCCTCTGATTTTTTCCAGCTGCTTTTGAGCCTCTTGGAATACACGGGTGTAGAGGAAAATCATCACCACCAGAGGCAGATAGAAAGACACTATCGAAGAAGATACTGCATATCCTTGGTTGGTGTTGAATTCACAGCAGGTCTCGCTTAATCGGCATTCTATAGCGCGGGGTTTATCTGACACCCAGAGCTTGAGATAGATGGGCAAGAAAGAGATGAGTGAGGCCACTGCCCAAACCACAAACACCACCATGAAGGCCCGAGCCCTGGCAAACATCAAGAGACAAGAAAGTTTAAACATGTGAAAGCAGATAAAGAGCATGCAGATCAGGAACTGCTATTGTTATAATGCAGGGACAAACATTAACTTGTATCTTTTAATTTACAGGAAACCTCTTCATAAGGTATGACCCTATCCAAAACTACTCATAATAAAACGTTAAGTTTGAAACACTGGATATTTGGAGATTAACCAGGTTAGTTTTAAATAGAGATGTTAGGCATGTAGATATTGCTCTATTCAGGTTAAAAAGTCCAAATATAGTAAAGGCACATGCAAAATGTTTTTTAAAACAGCACTGTTTCAAAAGCTGGAAGTTTTGTGTCTGTGAGACCAGAGAAATTGCTACTGTGATCAGAGCTTTTTATACACTCTCTGCGATCACTAAGCTACACAGCCGTGCACCTCGCCCATCTAGTGCTGTGCACTGCAGGTCAGCTGACCAAAGGCAGGCTGCCTCAGGTTTCAAGTCATCCTCCTGCTGCTAATGTTTTCATGTGCAGCATTTTTCTAAAGGGCAACACAATCTCCTACACTAAAGTATGAACCGCACTAGCTGCACATAAAATATAGGCTTTAAAGTTTTATTTTAAAATAGCTGTGCAAGATACATATGCATGGTTCACTGCCCAAACCAGCAGTTGCATCAACACCACAAGCGTACCCGAGATTTCAGTTTTAAATAGCGATTAACACAAATACTAATTTATCAAGACTCCAGTTTAAACAACTCAATCAAGCTGGGGCATCCTGGGGGTTATTATGGAACATTCAAATAATTTTTTTCATTGTTACTGTTTTTTTTGTTTTTTTTAAATAATTAATAATAGTTTAAATTATATGGAAAAAAATACATGTTCCATTCAGTTAAGTCAT